TACCAAGGAATATTCTCTTTAAATGTTCTCTTCTCCGATTGCGCAGCGACTTTTTGGCGCAGTGGGGATTTGTGGGGGCAGCCGCATGAGAGGTTCCCCTCCAATCAGTGGGCAGTGTATACCCAGGGCCGCCAGGCTTGCTGCTCAGCAGTTGGCGGCCGGCGGGCGAAGAGTGCGGTGTATTCTTCTGTGCGGTTGTCTTGTCTGGTCGCATACGTAACTGTGAAGCCGAGTGTCTTTCTGTGAACTGAGATTTTTCCAACCTAAACTTTTTTCTCTACTGACAACGCTATCAAGACAGTGTGAATAAGAAAACAAGATTTTTGAAATTCACTAAATTCCAACTTTATGCTGGTTAATTTTGCACCTGTGTTGACGCGGTTTCTAATATTTTTACGTGCTTCCAAGTTTTGCGTTCATGTGAAAGATAACTTCTTGTAGTTTTTCTTTCAGGACTGAGCTCCTCTGCTGTAGTGGTTCTGAGGTGTACAGGCGGGTTTTTCCCCTTTGAGTGATCGGCTATGTGCTGACTTCTTACAAGCAATGCTGTAACTATAATGACAAGTCAAATTCGTAGGTTGGCATGCAGAGGCCAATGTTAGTACAGTATTTGCTATTGAAATTTACCTGGGGCGGGTGTTATTATTTTGCGCGTTTGTGTGACAAATCGTAATCATCCGATGGTTTGCAACTTATGATAAGCGTTCTGCCTGAATTTAACGAAGGACAAAATGAGTTCATGGAAAGAATCGCTCGCGGTTCCCCGGTATCCCCTCTCTATGAATTTCGACCGAAGATTCAGTGATGGAGCCAATCCGTACGGATTAAGTGAGTTCAATGCATATATGTGGATTATACTTGCCTCAGTTGCATGTAAGTGAATGCAGTGCAGAGAAATTGAGTATAGATTAGATCCCGGTAGCGCGAAAAGCGTTATTTGAATGGCGTATGTCATCATGCAAGTTCTCCGAAGTCTATAGTTTTTGACTGTGGTGTTGTCACTTGTCAGACAACATATTTTGGGCGCTTATAGCATGGTTTGGTAGCATTAGGTCGCCTTACGGAGCTAGTGAGCTTTTCTTGTGCTCTACACTTGAAATTTCGATTAGAACATCCCCGGTTATTTATCGTGCGAAAACATTTTATGGAAGAAATAACAGGATGCCCCTGATTTTGGAAAGCCTGATGATAAAACGTTCTGCCGAGACCACCAGAGATTAAAATTTTTCCAGGAAGATTCAGTTGCAAGCTGGAAACGGTACCATGTTGGCTATTAGTCTGAATTCGTATGTTCATAGAAATTGTGTGATGTTGATCTAAGCTTGATAGGAAATCTATACAATTATTCATATGCTTGAGAATTCAGACATTTTTTTAAAACCAGAAGATCACGTTTTATTAAATCTGTTGAAATATTTCTTGTTTTCTCTTCTTCGGAATTAATCTCCAATCAGCATCTCGATAATAGGTGGTAACTTGAAGTCACCGTGGACTATCCTCGAATGCACCGGTTACAGACACGTTCGGGTGGTTTCAGCGAACGTGTATGGAATAGGCGCGGTAGTGTAAATACGAGATCGTTCTAGCATTGTTTGCCAAGAAACTGTCGAATTCAGTACGAAGACACTGCTGGATGAGTGAAGGTGCTTGGCAGGTAAGACTGTCCAGCAGCTACGCTCTGATGGCCGAAGGAAGTTCTAGTTCGGACAATCCGTACGGATTAAGTGAGTTCAATGCATATATGTGGATTATACTTGCCTCAGTTGCATGTAAGTGAATGCAGTGCAGAGAAATTGAGTATAGATTAGATCCCGGTAGCGCGAAAAGCGTTATTAGAATGGCGTATGTCATCATGCAAGTTCTCCGAAGTCTATAGTTTTTGACTGGTGTTGTCACTTGTCAGACAACATATTTTGGGCGCTTATAGCATGGTATGGTAGCATTAGGTCGCCTTACGGAGCTAGTGAGCTTTTCTTGTGCTCTACACTTGAAATTTCGATTAGAACATCTCCGGTTATTTATCGTGCGAAAACATTTTATGGAAGAAATAACAGGATGCCCCTGATTTTGGAAAGCCTGATGATAAAACGTTCTGCCGAGACCGCCAGAGATTAAAATTTTTCCAGGAAGATTCAGTTGCAAGCTGAAAACTGTACCATGTTGGCTATTAGTCTGAATTCGTATGTTCATAGAAATTGTGTGAAGTTGATCTAAGCTTGATAGGAAATCTATACAATTATTCCTATGCTTGAGAATTCAGAATTTTTTTTAAAACCAGAAGATCACGTTTTATTGAATCTGTAGAAATATTTCTTCTGTTTTCTCTTCTTCGGAATTAATCTCCAATCAGCATCTCGATAATAGGTGGTAACTTGAAGTCACCGTGGACTATCCTCGAATGCACCGGTTACAGACACGTTCGGGTGGTTTCAGCGAACATGTATGGTATAGGCGCGGTAGTGTAAATACGAGATTGTTCTAGCATTGTTTGCCAAGAAACTGTCGAATTCAGTACGAAGACACTGCTGGATGAGTGAAGGTGCTTGGCAGGTAAGACTGTCCAGCAGCTACGCTCTGATGGCCGAAGGAAGTTCTAGTTCGGATTTATTATGCCTCTCCCAGCGAGCCAGGAGGCAGTCATGGCCCCCATCCTCGCGATAGGACGTAAGGAGTCGAGTCGGGTACTCACGCTCCCAGGTACTCAATCGAGAAGGTGTCCCTCCCTCTGAAGAAGGTGGCTAGTGACGACGACTTCTTTTGTTTTTCTTCAGGCAAAAAAAATCTTCATCACTCTCCCTCCCTTCGTGAAAATAATTTTTTGCATTAGGTGGACCAAACTGATCGGCGTTTGACCTGCGCAAGGATTGCCGTCCTTGAATAATACGAGGGAATATGTTCAACGATAATTATGATTATGCAATTTAAAAATCGCGACAGAATATCAGTGATTAAAAGCGTGGATGTAGACATTCTTTCTGGTGTGTGAAAACAAGTTGATTCTCGATTCTGTCGAAAATTCCTTTGAACGTTGTCTAATACCAATTTTTAAAAATCTGCGAACGAAGCTGAAACAATTCTGAAAAAGCTATATTTGAATTACTGTACCTCCTACCGCGTGAGTTTTCTTCGTAAGAAAGAAAGAAAGGAATTCCCATTTTCTGAGGTGGATTCTTATTTTTGCAAGTAGGGAAAAATAAGCAAGTGCTTGAGGAAAGTTATATTGAGAACGGTTCCATGTTGAGGCCTCCAATCTACTGTACTTTCATTTCTTTGGGGTTTCGCGATCTATTGTGATAGTTTTCATCTTCACGTTGTTCCATTTTTTTGTTGATCCAGTTCGATTTTCCTTCGTTGGATTAAGATAACACTGCGACTTCGTGTGGAAGAGTAATCGGTAATGAAAATCATTCATTCGTGTAAGACGGTTGATAATCTTAAAAAAATGGAATAAAAATACGTCGTCTTCGAGGAATTGGATGAAATCGAAAAAATTAAGCTGGTCTTATTGAAGCTCAACTTTTTTTTTCCTTATTCGTGTCTGTAATAAATGTAAAGCCGGTGTGGAGTGCTGCTTTTGCTCCAACAGCATATCAAGGGAATTGGTTTGGAGTGCATGCAAGAGCGACTGCTGTGTTATTCCTGACGCCTTAGTTGAAGCAACATGTTGAACCATCTCTATGTAACGGGAGTTCAAATTGATTCTCCCGAACTTAGTTTTTGAACGTAGTCTGGTCAAGTTGAAGCATTCAAGATGCTAAAATAAAGTTTCTTTAATCCCTACATAATTTTTTTCTTACATAGTACAGTATTCGCATTATTATCGGTGTCCGTATTTCCTTCTATGAAGCATCCTGTTCAGTGATTCAGATACTAGAGTTTGCATGTGTCTCGAGATTCCCTGCGATTATTCTTCATGGGGCGAGTTACGTGATTTGGGCTTCCCCTCGTTACACGAGTTGAGGCATGATTTTCTTGGTAACCGGTTCCGTAAGGATCACCATTTCTGTTGTCCACCCGGATTCCATCGCGATACTCGGCAGATGCTATACTGGTCAGTATTGTATTGAAGTCGAGTGAGTGAAGTTGAGCTTACCACTCGTTGTAGGCAATTCGTTGTGGCAGGTTTCAGAAGCAGTGATGCTTTCATTTCATGTTCGAGGATTTACGGGAATTTTAGAAGTTCTGATGTGCAGAGGTCTGTAAGGACTCTCGTCAGTGTAATATTTCAGCATAATTACGAGAGTGAAGGACTCACTTTTCTCCTTAATATATGCTTTGAAAACCGGTGTGGCTTAAACTCAAAATATTCTAAAATAGGCCGCCGTGGCGATATTGGTGCGGCCTATATTCGAGATGAGGGGGAGCGAAGATCATGCTGGGTAAAATCTTGCCTTTGAAAGAAGTTTCCGATACACTACTCCTATGCAAGTGCTTCTTCTTATCCCTCATTTCAACATGAATTTATTTTTTACTTAAAGAAAATCATGAATCCTCACGTAAATACGTTCACCGTTTTAGAAATGTATTTGGTTAATTTTCCTCAAATTTTCCCTTTAGCGACCTGTGATTTTTAAACTTTTTAACGTCGGTCGAATGTACAGTATTAGGATTCGGCCCATATTATCGTGTAACGGTATTCACGTATTGAGTTTTCATGATCTAGCATTTCGAGCAGTTACTTGATCTCGACGTAGTTATCAGTAGCGATTGTTCAAGCTTCCGTGGTGCTCCTAGTATTTTGAAGATTAGTCGAGGATTTCGCAGTTGAATGAATTCCCGAGTTATGTGTGGCGCGTGAGGTTCGGTTTGGAACATTTTTCGTGTGGGTGTCAGGCCGGACGTTGTATTTCTCGTGAGAGTGACGGGTTCCACCGTGGGTGGAGATTAATTCATCAGTGTGCATGCGAATGTTCGCGGTTTACGCTTAGCGCAGCCTTGTGCTAGACCCTGTGCATTCTCCACTTGACGGAAGTGTTGACGGTGTTGATGAATGCCTTGGAATGTTTGGTTTCCGTGCCACAGGAGAAATCATGAGCCGTCGACCGGTCGACTCATGGGCCGGCGCGGCCATCGGCACTGTCCATGGCGCTCGGGCTGTGAAGAACGATGTCTACCTAGACAATTCCCTCGATTCCGGCGTCGACGGCATGCGCGACTCGCCGAACAACAGCGCCGAGGACTTGCCCGACTACATCACAGATGCCCCGAACAACATTACCTACCTACGTGGGAAATTCCTCGGCAAGGTAAGGGTTTCTCTCGTCTCCTTCCTCCGCATACTCGCCGCGCAATGATGCCGCTTGCATTACGGAGTTTTTAGATCGCACACTGTGACCGGTTCTTCCGATACGAGTTTTACTTCGCCCCCGTGTGACTAACAATATTTGTCTTGTCTAGTTTGATTATGATAACCATGCGTCGTGTTAACATGGAGGTTCCCCGGATATTCCTCTCCGTTCTGCTTTCTGGTTGCACGAAGTAGGATTTATGTCAAAAAAGGAATCTTCCAGGCTGTCAACCTTTTCATGTCTGACCTGCGTAACCCGACGTATGAGCGTGTCGCAGAACAGCGATTTTCGGGGATAAGGATAAAGATGAAAAAAAAGACTCTTCTGAGACAGATTCAGTGTTATCAACCACGATTATCACTTGACAAGTTTGTCAGCGTCAGACACCAATGCTCTTAGGCCTTTAAGATCAATAGACTGAATTATTTCGAAGATGCACGTGGACTCAACAGACCGGAACTTGATCGTTTCACAATCAAATAACATTGCATACGAGTTGCTCTAGCATCATCAGGTCTTCTTGGACCAGAAAATGAACAATTGTTGCATGAAGAATATCGTAGTTGCAGCCACCTTCACACGTATCCTCGTGGATAAAATGGCCAAAATGTAGCTTTCTTTTTTCCTGGAGGCCGGTGCTCTGAAACTTTGCCCACCCTGGGGTAAAAGATATTTCTTTTGCTCATGACCACGATAGGGAAGTTGGAACAGTGGACCAAGCCCACTCTGAAGGTTGATCGGTCGGAAAGTTTGTTTCACGTGCTGGATTGAACGTTTGAAGTCTACCGTGGGATTCATCATATGCGAGTTCTGCTGGTAACCCCAGCTGGTCGCTTTTGTCACTCGCATAAAGGGGTGTCAGCGTTTTTGGTTCCAAAAAAAAAAAGGCTGAACAATGGGGGGCCTTCGCGGATATTGCCGAGTTTGCCAATCGGCAGAAGGGTTCTGTCTGTCGTCGAAAGATGGGGGAAGACTGTCAAGGCCGCACAGGTTAGGAATGGATTTTTTTTGTGTGCGACGGTCCAGACCCATCTTCCGTCGGCGACATTCATATCCCTCGGGGTTTGTGTTCCCGAAATGGGAGGGGAGCTTTTCTTTCGTATCTGCCCAACAGGGAACATTCCTCGGGGAAGTTGCCAAACTTGGTAAAAGCAGCTTCGGCGAAATTAAACCTGATCAAGTTTCATGGCTGCGAAGAAAAGATTGTGTCGTCATTTCCGGTTTTTGTTCGGTCTTCGTTCCTCCAAACAATGAAAATAGTCGCCAATGAAGGTTTATTCAAGGTGAAAACCGCATTGCGGTTTTTTCTGTGAACTTCATCTTTTTAGACGTTCACCCCGATAATTAATAGATGCATAACTCATCGGGCTCCCTGAGAAAATTCCGAGGGTACAAAATTTGAGGACGAAGCTTAAAGATAAGAATATGTGTATTGAATACCGTGGCTTTTTCTCAGAAATTGATATAGTTTTCATTAATTTCGGCAAGCATGCATATTTCCACTGCTTTTTGTTCTCTTTTTCACAGAAATAAACTTAATCTAAGTCGAAGGAAGATTTACCAAAGGCTTGATTTATTTTAATTCTGTATTCAGATTTAAAGCCTAGCAAACAGAGTCTTCAACCCTTTTTATTTTCTTTCACTGATTTCTTTTTCGATTGAATAAGGATATACTGAAGACACCCGAAAGATATCAACGGGTTGTTAGCGATTATAGCTATACAGCATAGTGTGTTGTCTTATTTAAATTCAAACATGAATACTGTACTGCGATTTCAAGTAATATTACAATACAGTATTATAGAGGTGCAGAAAACGGCCAGTATTCGTCGTAGCCGCGGGATTTGATCACACCCTATCAACGTTATTTCCCGGAAGGTTTTGAAACCTTCCGTCAAGATTTGGAATGGACTCCCACGAGGGATGACTTCGCTTTTAAAACCTGCTGCATGATTCTGCGTAACTCATCAATGTGCGCATCGAGAAAATAGTACTGTACCCGAATTATGTATATTCTGGATCATATTCTGCATAATGTAGAATGCTGAAATGAGCAGATGGGTAATGTTTTTGCACTTTTTTTTTTACATGTTTCTTAAAAACCTCGAAAATTCCTCCTTCAAATAAAAAGGTCAGAAAGTTTCGTTCTATTTCGCGAAGGTTGTTCATTTATCGCTTAATGTCTTTATCTTAATATATTAGTTTCCAGATCAGCAAGAATGCTACCATGTCCTGAATGGAATCTTCAAATCCGCGAAGTTATCTAATCAGCACCGTCTGTTTTCCGGTTCTTGCGGCTTCTTTTCTCACTTCGAGAGATCGTCTTTGTTTTTGTTTTCGACGGGAAGAGGCTTTCTGCATCATTCTGTACATCGCCTTTTAGTTCTAGAAAGTACGAAAATGTGGAGGAAAGGGATTGAGTGGAACGGGAACGGAAATGTTGGTATACTCATAACACGAGACGCGCTTGGAGCGCATCTGTTTCCTTTTTTTCTTTTTTTTCATGACATCGGATTTCACATGCTTTTCTTTGTCTTTCAAAAACCTTCATGTACAAGTATAAAGCACGCCGTGGGTGGTTCTACGATGGTTAGTTCAATAGTTTCGACCGTTCCTTGAATTAAAATGTCCTTTGAAATGAACGTTTGTGGTACCCACGTTTCTGACATTCTTAGTCGATATATTCTAGAAGTCATCGCTTGTTCGATGCGAAGAAATAAAGTTAGGGTCAGTTGATTGGCTGAGGATTTCCTTCAATTTTCGCCTTCATATATGTAGGCGAAAATTTAACCTTCGGTAAAGAATAATTTGATCATATATGATCAAATTATTCCTTACCGAATGGCGTCTTCGGGCTGCATTCATGTTCCGTCTCACTAGCATCAAAATAGAAATGAACGGAACACAGTATCCATTCGAACATGGTACATAAGTCAGATGTAGAACGTGCAGAACATTTTCAACCATCAAATCTTTTATACAGTCCATGCAATATTTGTTTGCCGTTGGACCCCTTGGAAACACTGAACTACTTGTACAGTATAAAAAGTGTGGTAGGTGAACCTAATTTCTTCCGTGATTAAATGTACGTGTAGTGAAATTCTCTTAGCAAATCCCTTCTCCGTATTCCAACTCGAATGAGCAGATGCTGGGTTTTTTATCGGGAAAGATTAACTAGATAGATACAAGTTGCTGGTACACTCATCTTTCCAATAACGGAGGTAAAACCCTAAGGAAACTTGTGAAATGATCCTCGTAAGTGCAGATAATGTTTCAACTAAGATTGTTTATTCGTTTGATGCTTTCAGCGGAAGCTGTTGTAGATTTGCTGCCTCATCTTACTCAGGTTCATATTGAAGAAATCTGGATCGCGTTTATTTGCGTAGGATTTTTGGGAAACGAGTATAGCCGGGTGCACAAGTTGCTGTATGTACTTCAAATTCCAAGATTTCCAAAATCCTTGCCGCGTTTCATCGGACCGTTATCTTTGGTCCTCAAAGAAAACCTCTGCTTTCTGTAACTGTGACGAAGGATCGAAAATTCATCTTCCACACTCCGTCGAATAGTTCCCGTTACTAAAAGATAATTTATTTTCTTCGAAAATTCATCAAGGCGAAGCTCGGCTGATTGGATGGCTGGGCATATTCACGGTTTTATGCATAGATATTTTGATCTTTCTTGCGAAGCAGATAGTAATTATATTCTGCGGAAAGGATCACTTGATTTCCTTATTAGACTGGGGCGGTTTACGGGCGCACATGCATCGATGGGATTGAAATGAAAATATAACGATACTGTGTGAGAAACCGCATTGACTGCACAGCATTTATAATGGAAAATGTGGCTACCTAATCGTACCAGTTAATAGCAATGAAATGGAAAAATATGTACGTGAAACAAAATTCTTGTGAAATGAGACTTGACTGAAGCCAGTTAACCTAGCGAAACCCACTTTTCCTAAACCGAACCTCCCAAACGCACAAGCGAACCAAACCCGACGAAGCTGACTTGAACACCTTGACTATACAGTTGGTTATAAATGTAAACATGTTCCGACTCTTTTCAGGAGTCTTAAGATTGGCCGAAGTTTCTAGAGTTGATCACGTATCAAACTTCTATCTGATAACTGCAATGTTTCAGTGCTCAATCCAGGACAATGTGAGGGATCTCCCAGTAGGACGCGATCTGTGATATTTCAAAGAGGTAGGTGGGATAGTAGAACAGCATACATTCTGATGTAGCCCATGATGTTCCGAGGTTCTGGGATTTTTTCTGATTTTTAACGAAGAATTTTCAATTCACTGCAAGAAAAGTGAAACCTATCCAGTTACATCCATAATTCTCCGTCCATGTAACAGGGTACTAAAATTTGTCAGGCCAGCTTGAACAATTGAAAATTTTCTTTTTACCCGTTACTTTTCATACATTTTGGAGGGTGGTTGAAGCAAAAAAAAATTCATTTTTCTATCAACTAGCCAGGCAAATTTTAGTACCCTTTGACAAGGGTTGAGAACTCGGCTCTGAGGAGTTTTCGCTCATCTTGCAGGAAGTTAGAAAAAAATTTTCAATTCCGAAAAAAATCCCAGAACCTTAGAACATCATGGGCTATGTTATACAGTATTTTCTTTTACAATCACACACACTCTTAACAACATCAGAGGTCGCGTCCAACCGGGACAATCCTCTTATGTTTCATTGTCCGATGAAAGGCCGTGTGATTAGGTATTATGGTTTTCTTCGCTGGGCAGAGCTATTTTTGGCTTTGAGGAAGTCGAGAGAAGTCGCGGTTTTTCTTCGGTACGGATGAACAACTTCGCACATCCTTTCCGGCTTGTGGGGAGAAGCCTGATCAGCGGGCCTTTTTAGTGCTTGAATACCTTGCTTAGGCGGAGATGCGGTTCGTTGCCTTAGTCCGCTGCTGGAGAGCTCCTCGCATAACCCTGGGGGAAGCGTGACTTTGATCTCTCCCCTCCGAGCGTGTATTCCTGAAACCGACTTCCCCGCACACACCACGCGGATCAGGCATGCAGACTTTTGACGCAAAAAAAGTGAACAAAAACTGGTCTCCCCACCGTCATTCCGTAGGTGCGTTTTTAAACCAGCGGCTGCGTTTTAAACATCCCTTCCGCTCATTAAACCTCTCGGCTGGTTGACGACCATCAGTCCGCGGCCCCAGGCTCCCTTGTTTTTCCACGTTGTTGGCGAAGAAGCAGTCGGGAGGTTTTGTTCATGTATACGTGTAAATGTATTTATTTTTATATCACGAATAGTTGATACTCTCGGCAGTTGTTCCGAAATATATTCCCGCTGTTGTTCCGACGCATTTTCCGTCCCCTGTGGCTTTTCAAATGGTTTTTTTCGCCCAGTCTGCCCCGCAATATGTGAAAATTACTCCGAGCTCAAAATGGCAAGGGTGGAATTCCAGTGGCTACGATTTAGATTTTTCGGTCTTCCCGTTCGGTCCTTACTTACCTCGAACTTTTCCGGTTTTTACAAGTTCTCCCGATAATATTAGCGGTCTCCTCGACTGTTCCCGAATCGAAGTATCTTTTATAAATTATGGCGAAGATTATGTTATATTGTACGAGTTATTTTGTATGGGGTTTCTTTGAGCACAGTACTGGATTAGGTCTTGTTTGAGAAGTGGCTGGTCTAGCTTTTTTTTAGAAGCATCGCACTGCGTTGATGTCCTGCCGTTTTTATTTTTTTGTTTTTCTCTCGCTCAGATTGTTTTCATTCTGTCATTCAACGAACTTGGACACTATACATAAATAAAATGATGTATCCTATGAACCGTGCCAAACATGAATTACACTTCATACTATGAAGTGTAATTCATGTTTGGCACGGTTATCATTTAAAGAATAAAATGAAAGGTTTTCCCTCCTTAAAAAGGTAACCCTGGAGATTTCCGTCGGAAGTGGAGAATCGGCTCTCGAAAAGCGATGAGAAATGTTCGGGCACTACGTGGAGAAAATTAAAATATTTCGTGCATTGGCTGAGGAGGAAAGCTACTTCCGTGGTCAACCTTGGCGTAGTCGCCCTTCGGTCAATGGTCAGGAATTGCCTCCGGGGGTCCCTATACTCCGGTTCAAGCGACCACGAAGTATGCTAGAGGTTCACGACCCGTAACTGGAGTAAAATGTCTCATTAATGGGCGGCTGACAATGACGAACCGGTTATGCAGTCCTTTTATGTCCCATCCAGCAGCCTTTTCCTGGATTCAGTCATTAATGGCTTTGAGACCAGAAATAGCCATGGCAGTCGGAGATACTGTAATTTTCTTTGTCAGGAAAGGATTTATTTTACTTCTCGAATTCCTCGAGAATCTCAATTAAGGGAAATCGTTCTTGAACGGCTTCACTTCACAATCCTCATGAATTCACTTTTTAAAAATTTCGCTTTGGCTTCTCTGCCATCTGTAAAAGTTCAGCTGTGCGGATCAGAAAAAATTCTTATTTTTCATTCTTCAGTCTTCACTAGAATAAATTTTTTTGTTTCACCTGTCAGATGGTCGTCGAAATTCCTTGCTCAATCTAAAGGATGTTCATGACCTGCCCTGTTTCCGATGGTGGCTCGGTTTTTGTCCATTGAAATCGTTCGAGTACCGTAACCTGACAGCTTGGATTTGAAAAAAAAAATGATGTAGCCGTCAAAAACGACATTACAGATACTGCATGAGGACTACAGGGGTTCTTGCTCATTTCTGATGAGCCTATTATCCGTGCGAGTCGCTTTTCAAACTCCATATTTACTTCTAAGTTGTCTTCGGGTTATTGCAGACATTTTTTTTAAACTGTGAACGCGTCGATTTTAGTGTAAAAAACAAAAACTTAACCTGAGGGAATTCTTAACTATCGTACAGTACAAATGGATTCTTTACCGAAATACTTGGTGGACCAAGTACTACCGTGTCTATTTTTACGGAGAATATCGTAGATGAGTTGCTGATACAATATTGCCTCTTCAAGCTAGGCAACATTGTACGGAGGATATAATTTTGGAAACTCGTCACGCAGTATAGCATTGATAGTGGAATTCACTATGTTTTAGAAATCGTCTTTTGGCTCACAGAAAAATCTCGCCGCTCGGAAACTGCGCAGTTGCAATGCTCGGGTGAAGAAAGTGAAGACTCTTATGCTCTACTACTGCCAGGAACATGAAATGTCTACAGTTATTTAAAAATTAGTACATGATTATTTTTTCGTCCTGCAGGTGTAATTTTCACTGCCTGCATTCCGAGTTCGTAAACTCCAATTAACTGTCTTTTGTAGCGATCCTTGAATCAAGTCAGAATACATAATCTTGAATGAATAAGTTTTGAATCATTTGTAGATTTAATCCCTTTTTCCGAATGCTTATCAACCGATTTAAAGCTTCACATTTTCTCGGAGTATGCATTTCAGTGGAATGTTTGTCACCGCACTCTTATTCCGTGTTGAATCGATCGTTCACGATGTCCTCACGCGACGTGAGTCATTAAAAAGTCAGTAGAAATCGACAGTGATTTCGATTCACTGCGTCTTGTGTGGTTGTCGAGTTTACAGACACTACAGATCTAGATTTGAACGAGGTGTTGAAATTCTCGTCTCCCGAGAGGCTAGATCGGCATTTGATCAAAGACGTTCGTCAACTCATTTGCGGGGGAAATCATGCGCTGCTTTCAGCGAATGGATAACGAGGCATTGCTGTTATGGTGAAAATTTCACCTTCATTTGTATTTTCATGGCCAGCACGCGTGTCAAAAGTGACGCCAGAAACGGGCAATATTGCCACTGGTTGAGGAAAAGAGATGCCTTTTTTTCCTAAGCCGCCTCCAGCCACTCCCTGTGGATCTGCGCGACCTTCACATGATCGTGTCCAATTGCTCTGGGTATTTGGCACGACCTCGACAAAGGTTTTGGCTCTGGTTGATTTTTCTTCTCGAAGTTCGCCAGTTTATTATTTTTCCGTGTACCGTCTGTACTTCTTTGAACAATTATGCAGATTACGTTTTTGTTCGTGTTTGTTGTCACGTGCATCTCCTATGAACCTTTGCTATGAAGTTTCCTTTCAACTCATGTCTTGTACTTAACACAACCTCGGCACTTCTTCGTATTAGCGTGATTCGGTCAACACCTGATGTTTGCGTGGGGGCCCCTGCTGAAGTTACCTGCTAAATGCGCTCAAGGCTGCGTCGCGTTTGTCCGTGAAGATCCGTCGTCTTTCTTCGATCGACGGAGTCAACGTTTCGAAAGAATAATTCTCTTCTTGTTGGATCGTTTTAACGACTGGCGCCCTGCGAGTGATTCATTCAATATTGATTTTTCTCTTTTTGAGAAATGTGATCCTCACATTTCGTGCCGACGATATCTATTCACGTTTCTTTTGAAAAGAAAGGTGGTCTCGTTCTCGTGGCGACTGACGCTTAATTATTTTTGTTTTTCGCAGGGTGGATTCGCCAGGGTTCACGAGATGAAAGATTTGACGACAAACACAGTATTCGCCGGAAAAATCATCCCGAAATCCCGCATCACAAAGCCACACCACCAAGAAAAGGTAAGCACCTATTTTTGCGTCTTCTGGGTTTGCTTTTTTGTCGAAGTGTTTTGGCATCATCCCAGAGAATGCCGCGTATTTCCCCGCACCCTGCAACGAAAGTTCGTTACCGCGTACGACGACGACCTTAACTCGCGACGCCAATGTCGAGATCGTGGAGTACGCTACAGTACTGCCGTGTCGCACTCGTCGCTTACGCCCGTCCGCTTTTTGTTTGGTTTCGCGAACGACTGCTGCACGACATCCGGGGATTAAGCGACAATTTTTGTACGTTTGCTGACGCGCGCTCTGGTGTAGATGAGCTTTGGTTGACGGCTACGACATGGGAATGGACAGCTGAGGCGTGTTACCCTGACGGAATTGCTGATGCGGCATTGTAACCCGGCTAAGCATCGTTCATTATCCGTCTTGAAAACCCGGCAGTATTTTCGGGGCATTGAAGTTTGACTTCTGAGACAGTTTTAACTACAATACCTGTGTTTGTCATGTTTTTTTTNCTGATCAGGCTTCTCCCCACAAGCCGGAAAGGATGTGCGAAGTTGTTCATCCGTACCGAAGAAAAACCGCGACTTCTCTCGACTTCCTCAAAGCCAAAAATAGCTCTGCCCAGCGAAGAAAACCATAATACCTAATCACACGGCCTTTCATCGGACAATGAAACATAAGAGGATTGTCCCGGTTGGACGCGACCTCTGATGTTGTTAAGAGTGTGTGTGATTGTAAAAGAAAATACTGTATAACATAGCCCATGATGTTCTAAGGTTCTGGGATTTTTTTCGGAATTGAAAATTTTTTTCTAACTTCCTGCAAGATGAGCGAAAACTCCTCAGAGCCGAGTTCTCAACCCTTGTCAAAGGGTACTAAAATTTGCCTGGCTAGTTGATAGAAAAATGAATTTTTTTTTGCTTCAACCACCCTCCAAAATGTATGAAAAGTAACGGGTAAAAAGAAAATTTTCAATTGTTCAAGCTGGCCTGACAAATTTTAGTACCCTGTTACATGGACGGAGAATTATGGATGTAACTGGATAGGTTTCACTTTTCTTGCAGTGAATTGAAAATTCTTCGTTAAAAATCAGAAAAAATCCCAGAACCTCGGAACATCATGGGCTACATCAGAATGTATGCTGTTCTACTATCCCACCTACCTCTTTGAAATATCACAGATCGCGTCCTACTGGGAGATCCCTCACATTGTCCTGGATTGAGCACTGAAACATTGCAGTTATCAGATAGAAGTTTGATACGTGATCAACTCTAGAAACTTCGGCCAATCTTAAGACTCCTGAAAAGAGTCGGAACATGTTTACATTTATAACCAACTGTATAGTCAAGGTGTTCAAGTCAGCTTCGTCGGGTTTGGTTCGCTTGTGCGTTTGGGAGGTTCGGTTTAGGAAAAGTGGGTTTCGCTAGGTTAACTGGCTTCAGTCAAGTCTCATTTCACAAGAATTTTGTTTCACGTACATATTTTTCCATTTCATTGCTATTAACTGGTACGATTAGGTAGCCACATTTTCCATTATAAATGCTGTGCAGTCAATGCGGTTTCTCACACAGTATCGTTATATTTTCATTTCAATCCCATCGATGCATGTGCGCCCGTAAACCGCCCCAGTCTAATAAGGAAATCAAGTGATCCTTTCCGCAGAATATAATTACTATCTGCTTCGCAAGAAAGATCAAAATATCTATGCATAAAACCGTGAATATGCCCAGCCATCCAATCAGCCGAGCTTCGCCTTGATGAATTTTCGAAGAAAATAAATTATCTTTTAGTAACGGGAACTATTCGACGGAGTGTGGAAGATGAATTTTCGATCCTTCGTCACAGTTACAGAAAGCAAAGGTTTTCTTTGAGGACCAAAGATAACGGTCCGATGAAACGCGGCAAGGATTTTGGAAATCTTGGAATTTGAAGTACATACAGCAACTTGTGCACCCGGCTATACTCGTTTACCAAAAATCCTACGCAAATAAACGCGATCAAGATTTCTTCAATATGAACCTGAGTAAGATGAGGCAGCAAATCTACAACAGCTTCCGCTGAAAGCATCAAACGAATGAACAATTTTAGTTGAAACATTATCTGCACTTACGAGGATCATTTCACAAGTTTCCTAAGGGTTTTACCTCCGTTATTGGAAAGATGAGTGTACCAGCAACTTGTATCGTGAATAGTTAATCTTTCCCGATAAATAACCCAAATCTGCTCATTCGCGTCGGAATACAGAGAAGGGATTTGCTAAGAGAATTTCACTACACGTACATTTAATCACGGAAGAAATTAGGTTCACCTACCACACTTCATATACTGTACAAGTAGTTCCGTGTTTCCAAGGGGTCCAACGGCAAACAAATATTGCATGTACTGTATAAAAGATTTGATGGTTGAAAATGTTCTGAACGTTCTACATCTGACTTATGTACCATGTTCGAATGTATACTGTGTTCCGTTCATTTCTATTTTGATGCTAGTGAGACCGAACATGAATGCAGCCCGAAGACGCCATTCGGTAAAGAATAATTTGATCATATATGATCAAATTGATCTTTACCGAAGGTTCAATTTTCGCCTTCATATATGAAGGCGAAAATTGAAGGAAATCCTCAGCCAATCAACTGACCATTACTTCATTTCTTCACATCGAACAAGCGATGACTTCTAGAATATCTCGACTAAGAATGTCAGAAACGTGGGTACCACAAAAGTTCATTTCAAGGGACATTTTAATTCAAGGAACGGTCGAAACTATTGAACTAACCATCGTATAACCACCCACGGCGTGCTTTATACTTGTACATGAAGGTTTTTGAAAGACAAAGAAAAGCATGTGAAATCCGATGTCATGAAAAAAAATGAAGAAAAAGGAAACAGATGCGCTCCAAGCGCGTCTCGTGTTATGAGTATACCAACATTTCCGTTCCCGTTTCACTCAATCCCTTTCCTCCACATTTTCGTACTTTCTAGAACTAAAAAGCAATGTACAGAATGATGCAGAAAGCCTCTTCCCGTCGAAAACAAAAACAAAGACGATCTCTCGAAGTGAGACAAGAAGCCGCAAGAACCGGAAAACAGACGGTGCTGATTAGATAACTTCGCGGATTTAAAGATTCCATTCAGGACATGGTAGCATTCTTGCTGATCTGGAAACTAATATATTAAGATAAAGACATTAAGCGATAAATGAAGAACCTTCGCGAAATAGAACAAAACTTTCCGACCTTTTTATTTGAAGGAGGAATTTTCGAGGTTTTCAATAAACATGCAGAAAAAAAACGCAGCAAAACCATTACCCATCTGCTCATTTCAGCATTCTACATTATGCAGAATATGTTCCAGAATATGCATAATTCGGGTACAGTACTATTTTCTCGATGCGTACACGGATGAGTTACGCAGAATCATGCAGCAGGTTTTAATAGCGAAGTCATCCATCGTGGGAGTCCATTCCAAATCTTGACGGAAGGTTGCAAAACCTTCCAGGAAATACCGTTGATCGGGTGTGATCAAATATCGCGGCAACGACGAATACTGGCCGTTTTCTGCACCTCTATAATACTGCATCGTAATATTACTTGAAATCGCAGTACAGTATTCATGTTTGAATTTAAATAAGACAGGAGGTCTTATTATACACTATGCTATATACACTATGCTGTATAGCTATACTCGCTAACAACCCGTTGATATCTTTCGGGTGTCTTCAGTATATCCTTATTCAATCGAAAAAGAAAAATAAATCAGTGAAAGAAAATAAAAAGGTTTGAAGACTCTGTTTGCTAGGCTTTAAATCTGAATACAGAATTAAAATAAATCAAGCCTTTGGTAAATCTTCCTTCGACTTAGATTAAGTTTATTTCTGTGAAAAGAGAACAAAAAGCAGTGGAAATATGCATGCTTGCCGAAATTAATGAAAACTATATCAATTTCTGAGAAAAAGCCACGGTATTCAATACACATATTCTTATCTTTAATCTTCGTCCTCAAATTTTGTTCCCTCGGAATTTTCTCAGGGAGCCCGATGAGTTATGCATCTATTAATTATCGGGGTGAACGTCTAAAAAGACGAAGTTTACAGAAACAACCGCAATGCGGTTTTCACCTTGAATAAACCTTCATTGGCGACTATTTTCATTGTTTGGAGGAACGAAGGTGTCCGGTATGGTTTCCTACTATCTTTTTTTTTTTCATTGTGGTCGGTAGACGGATTACGCGGGTTGGACCATTCAAGAAGAAAATGGATTTGGGCACCAGCCTCAGGAATTTGCGCCAGGCGCCATGGGCTAATACCCCGCAAATTGTGCAGAAAGTAAAAGGGTATTTTCAAAAGGGGGACCATAACTTTCCTCCAAGCCTCAGGTACAGTATATGAGGAATATTAAAACGTTTCCATATTGTACTTGTGGACCTTCTGTATATCCCTTTTCCTAGGACCAGGAACGAAGACCGAACAAAAACCGGAAAAGTGACGACACAATCTTTTCTTTGCAGCCATGAAACTTGATCAGGTTTAATTTCGCCGAAGCTACTTTTACCAAGTTTGGCAACTTCCCCGAGGAATGTTCCCTGTTGGGCAGATACGAAAGAAAAGCTCCCCTCCCATTCGGGAACACAAACCCCGAAAGGATATGAATGTCGCCGACGGAAGATGGGTCTGGACCGTCGCACACAAAAAAATCCATTCCTAACCTGAGCGGCCTTGACAGTCTTCCCCCCATCTTTCGACGACAGACAGAACCCTTCTGCCGATTGGCAAACTCGGCAATATCCGCGAAGGCCCCCCATTGTTCACAGCCTTTTTTTTTGGAACCAAAAACGCTGACACCCCTTTATGCGAGTGACAAAAGCTACCCAAGACCAGCTGGGGTTACCAGCAGAACTCGCATATGATGAATCCCACGGTAGACTTCAAACGTTCAATCCAGCACGTGAAACAAACTTTCCGACCGATCAACCTTCGGCGTGGGCTTGGTCCACTGTTGAACTTCCCTATCGTAGTCATGAGCAGGAGAAATATCTCTTACCCCAGGGTGGGCAAAGTTTCAGAGCACCGGCCTCCAGGAAAAAAGAAAGCTACTTTTTGGCCATTTTATCCACGAGGATACGTGTGAAGGTGGCTGCAACTACGATATTCTTCATGCAACAATTGTTCATTTTCTGGTCCAAGAAGACCTGATGATGCTAGAGCAACTCGTATGCAATGTTATTTGATTGTGAAACGATCAAGTTCCGGTCTGTTGAGTCCACGTGCATCT